ATCGCAAAAGCAATTGCAAAAACCTCATTGTCAAACGGATTTGTCGTTTAACAAGGTAATCGTTAAGCAGGCACCACTGTAATTAAAAAAAATTAATCATTTAGATCGATTTGTTTTCAGTTAATCCACCCTGCTAAAACACACACAAAAATTCTTTTAATTTTTTTTTAAAATAGGGACCATCATAGGTGTCTTGGAAAGAGTCCACTATGTTGAGGAGCCTAGACTCAGGGTGCTCAAAGAAGGATCAGCCTGAGGGTGGCAGTTTATCCGGTGTTTTGTCTGTCTACTTGTTTGGGTTTTGGTGGGTTTCCATTCCCCAGCCCATAACAAGCTGGTTAAGCTTGAGTCCTCCTGAGCAGATGTGTATGTTTTGCCCCTGGTGTAAAAGCATTCTTAAATGCCGTGCTTTATTTTATCATACTGGAGAGTCTGTGTCAGGGACTCTGAAGCTTCAGCTGGATACCACCTGGTACATTAAAATGTATATATAAAGAGCCTCTCGTCCATAGAGAACCAGATTCCCTCAGAGTGATCTGTTGGGAGATCTTCTGATGAGAAAATCAGACAAAGCAAGTTGGGGATGGAGACAAGCTCTTTCATCTTAGCACAATGTGCTACAGTTCTCTGTTAAAGCTTGTCTCTCTTTTCATCTGCTTTCTCCATTTCATTTTCTGTTGCCTCCTTTTCTTCCATACTCTTTCCCCCCCCCCTCCTCATCTGACTGCTGTTTTCCTGTGGACAGCTTTTGAAATTTGGCTGAGAGCTGCACAAAATTAGACCACAACTAATAGTGACCTCTGCACTCCCCACTAGAACTAGGCCACAGATTTCTCTGTTACCTAGTACTCTGTGTAGTTTGGCTGTGGAGCCTCTACAAAGGTCAAGGATTTATGGTAGCATTGACACTGGATTTGAAGATATGTGCATGGGTCCAAGAATTGAAGATTACATGAGATATTTGTCATGAGGAGAATGTGGTGGCTAGAGAGGCACTAGCAGGAGGAACTTTTAAAAAGTGTTTCAAAAAAAAAAAGTCATCTCCAGAATGGCTTATTAAATAGCAGGAGATTTCACAGAAGTGCGGAATGACATTGATCCATTTGTTAAATCATTTAATTTGTTTTTTCAAGG